AAACACTAGCTATTCTTCAAGTACAAACCATTAACAAACACTAGCTATTCTTCAAGTACAAACCATTAACAAACACTAGCTATTCTTCAAGTACAAACCATTAACAAACACTAGCTATTCTTCAAGTACAAACAAACATAAAGAACTTACTTTCATTTTATGCATGATTTTGATTCGTTAACCAATAAAATGTATATATTTTTTCCAGATGTATAAATTATTCTGATAAACTTGTATGACTGTAACACAGTATTTATCTCTTACTACAATTAATAGGGATTAGAACTCTTGCAGTCAAAATCTGGTTAAATTTTGTTATTCTAAATTATGAACAGACGTATAAAAATAACCTCCATTCATTTGGATTTGCCAAAATTAGAAATAAATAAAACTTACCTAATTCAGTAAGGTAGGTGGCTACCCTCCCGTAAATCTAAAAAAGATGAAAGATTAGTTGGTTGTTTCATAAATCTACATAAAGGCTATCTGTGATAGTCATCTCTAACTTTAAACTGATAGACTAGAAAATGGTATCTAAAGACAATTCTTGGGCTACTCTAATCAAACAGTAGAATTTGACCATCACTTTTACAACATGCCCATAACTCCAAGGTGTAAAGTGCATTTTTACTGCAACAGGATGAGAACCATAAACCTTCAGGTTCAGAGTCCAGCACACTGACCACTGGGCCTACCTAACTTTAAAGTACAAATAATGAAAGAATAACAAAATGTATTTGATGCCAGTGTGATAATAATATGGCTATGTTACTTGTGTTTCAGTGTTCATTTTGTTTTGATTTTTTCTATGGCTTCTAATTTTACATGTTTGCATCAAGTGTCTCTAAGGCAAACCTGCATACATGCCCAGCCCATAGGTAAAAGAACAATAATAATAAATATACACTAACTTCTGCAAAGGAAAAGAAAAAACCCATAATATCACATTCTAAAGTTGATCAATATTTGTATATAACCAATGAGAGGTGACAAATGTGTTCTAATGTAAAAGTAAACAGGAAGAAAATACAAAATTGAAAAACGACTACCGGATAAGTTTCAAAAGATAAAAACATCAGAGTTATGTGCAACTATTTTGACAAATTAAAAATTCCAAACCATTTTCATTTCAGTCTTGAAAATGCAATTATGAAAAAAAACATTATATTATTTACATTTGAATAGAAAACAAGAGGTAACCTTACAAAATTACAATTAGTTACATATATTTTACTTCTTAATCTATAAGAAATTAAAGTAAAAAATAAATAAATGAATACTAAAATAAATAAATATATACACACACATATATATATATATATTTATATACATATACCACTATAAACTGATCCTTATCCATATTATCTTAAATAAAGTCATGAAAAGTACATCTTAATCAACTACAAATTTTCCTATTTAAGTGACTTACCAGGTTAAAGATCATGATACACACAAGATTCAATATTGCAGCTGTGACCGATGTAATGAGAGCTACCATGCTGGTCAGTGTTTGATTGCCACTCAAAGTGAAGTACAGTACAGTTTGAATGGATATTCTGTAAAGAATCACACCAACCACAGCAACAAGAGCTACTGTAACCTAAAGTACAAAAATATAATTTGTTAGGTCTGTAAAGAATCACACCAAACACAGCAACAAAAGCTACTGTAACCTAAAGTACAAAAATATAATATCTTAAGTCTGTAAAGAATCACAGCACCAAAAGCTACTGTAACCTATAGTACAAAAAATATAATTTGTTAGGTCTGTAAAGAATCACAGCAACAAGATCTACTGTAACCTAAAGTACAAAAATATAACATATTAAGTCTGTAAAGAATCACAGCAACAAGAGCTACTGTAACCTAAAGTACAAAAATATAATATCTTAAGTCTGTAAAGAATCACAACACCAAGATCTACTGTATCGTAAAGTTCAAAAATATAATAAACATTATCATGTTCAGTTATATGATCACGCTGTGTAATGTACTGGGATCAACATAAGAACATAATTATATGATCACACTGTGTAACGTAATGGGATCAACATAAGAACATAATTATATGATCACACTGTACTGGGATCAACATAAGAACACAATTATATGATCACACTGTACTGGGATCAACATAAGAACACAATTATATGATCACACTGTACTGGGATCAACATAAGAACACAATTATATGATCACACTGTACTGGGATCAACATAAGAACACAATTATATGATCACACTGTACTGGGATCAACATAAGAACACAATTATATGATCACACTGTACTGGGATCAACATAAGAACACAATTA